TGTTTTCTAGATAGCAGTTTAAACAATGCTCCAAAGCCATAGCCTCCTTGGGAATAAAATTCCCCAAAGATATTTCACAACTGATATAACTGAATCTGACACCCTTACTAATGCAAATTGCCTTGGATCTAGAAAGATGGGCCCCATTCACTCTCAGTGTGTGAAGTAAAATCAACACTTTAAAAAAGTATGTCCTGCATTGAATAGTATATGTTCTCCAAGGCATACCTCTGTGTATACCCAAATCATATTTTCAAAGTTTCAATGTGATATTCAGGAAATTTATTTGGGAGACTACCTGCCATGCCTATCACGTAAAAAACTACAACTACTCATGGAGGACGGAGGTTTTGACTTCTCTGTTGTGAATGTGTATCATAAATCATACCTACTCTCATGTATCATGGAAAGGTCCATTAGCCATTTGCCATAACAACCCCCTTGAGGAAGCCCAGAATCAGCATATCTGACACCAGTTACCCAATGGATGGTGCTGGGCTCCACTCATTTAAAGAGAGAGGGTCCTATTCCACCCAATATTCAGGCAGCCAGAAAGACATGGCTAACAATCTGGTGTAACCTAGATCTGAAGATTGCCAGATAATCAGTCCTCTGTACACAGTGGGCTGAGACAGGCATCCTCAGTTCGTAGGCAAAGATTGTGAATTCTTCTCCTTTGTGGAGAAGAAAGAGCATCAACTGCTCTAAAACACAGACTCACAACAGTTTCAAATAAGCCATATGTTCCATTCCCTATATGACCCAATAGCATTCACTGTCTTGGAACCCCCAACTTTATTGGAGGACTTTGTTAGCTCTACAAAGACAACAAGATATTTTTACAAAGAACTCTTAACATACAACCAACTTGACATCCAACCACACCAGTGAAAAAAGCTACATCTTCTGTACAATCCATATCGCCCTACCTGAAACTGAGCCTAGTACAACAAAAGATGCTCTTTTGGGCTTATTGGACACCACAGTGCCTGTTTCAGAAAAAAAATCACCTTCTAATACATGTTGGTGAGATGGAAAAGCAGAAGTATCATTAGTATACACAATGCAGAAATGCCCAGTGGTTAGAAGTTGTTAGACACATCAATTTTGTCCTAAATTTGCCATTCTTGTTTAAAGATGCTGATGTTTTACTAAATTGCACTGCTACATCCTGGAAGGTATCCTCTGGCCACCATAACTGGACTATATGAGTGCTCATGGTGGCCAAGAGACTCATACTATGGGGATGGAAAGACAAATAATCTCCCTCAACCACACAATGGGCTGAAGACCTCACAACACTGGCATCCTATACTACCAACAACAACTTCATCTCAACGCTTATTATTATTATTATTATTATTATTATTATTATTATTATTATTATGTCAACCAATGCTGGATCAGTTCATAAAATAAACCTCCACAAATTATGTCCTGATGCTACAGAACCCTAAAACATCTTTAACAGCTTCTGTTAAAGAAATCATGGAATATGAAGTGTCATGGATGGAAATTACTTATAGAAAGTCAGAAATAATTATCATTAACCTTGCCCACTCAGACCAATTATATATACATCAACAATCTAAATTTAGATTGTGTCCTAGACACATAAGATAGCTTGGTGTTACCAACACACACAGAAATGGAAACACCTCAAGAAAATTTATTTATCCCACCTTTGTTCCTTTTTCAAGAAACTCAAGGTGCATAATTCTTCTCCAGCACTTTCTCTTGTCTCCAAAACAACATCAGCAACAGCAACAACCTTTGAAGTAGGTTGGGCTGAGAGTCTGAGACTGACCCAAGGTCATCCAGTGAGCAGCATGGATGAGTGAGGACTAGAACCCAGATCCCCTACGTCCCAGTGCCATACTTTTAACAGCTACAACACTCTGGCTCTCAAAATGAACTTTGAGACCTCATTAAAATCTATTAGGTTTGATATATCTTGAAGATTAGAGTGGATCATCTTGTTTGATCCAGGGATCATCAGCTGCTTCTGGTGATCCATGTGGGAACAAATAACAAAGCCAGGCAGGGCATGGGCAGGATCACAAGGGACCTTGAGGCCTTGAAAAAGAAACTCAGGGACCTAAAGGCCCAAGTGACCTTTTTCTCTATCTTACCAGTCCAGGAATTTGAGCCAGGCAGGGAAAGGAGAATCACTGAGGTGAACGACTGGCTTCAGGTGAGGTGCCAGAAGGAACACTTCGGGTTCCTTGACCACAGCACCTGGTTTCTTGCCAATGGACTTCTGGCAAGGAATGGGTTGTACCACACGAGGATGGGGAAAAGCTCCTTTGGAAATGCTCTAGCAAGCTTTGTCTAGAAGACTTTAAACTGAGCTGGGGTGGGTGGGTTCAAGCCCCACAGAAACTTGTATGCATTGGACAAGTGTGGTGAGAGGATTGGGGCTCCGCGAGCAAGGTTTTAGAGGTACTGCAGGGACTGACAGGACTCCTACGGAGAGGGGGCTGGTATCAGGGGAGATGGGAGGAAGAAGGAGGCTGGGGATCCCAAAGAAAGGAAGCTGTGGGAAGGAGTTGAGGTGCATGTACACCAATGCTAGGAGCATGGGTAATAAGCTTAAAGCTCTTCTGGGGATAAGAGGGTATGACCTGGAGGGGATCACAGAAACTTGGTGGGATGAAAGGCAAGACTGGAATGTAAACATAGAGGAGTATCACTTGTTTAGAAAGGACAGGAAGGGAAAGAGGGGTGGGGGCGTGGCTTTATATGTCAGGGAAGGGATAGGATGCAGTGAGATAGAATGCAGTGCAGATGGGAATTTGGTAGAGGCAGTCTGGGTGAAACTTAGAGCTTTTGACAGGAAAGGGACCTGACAGTGGGGGTATGTTATCACCCTCCAGGTCAACTTGAGACCCTGGACAGTGTCCTGACAGAACAGATTCTAAGGATATCTCGGGGGAGGAACACAGTAATTATGGGAGATTTCAATCTTCCAGATATTAGTTGGGAGACCCATTCAGCGGTGACAGCCAGGTCATGTTGCTTCCATGACGCTATAGAGGGAGGGTTTTTCACACAGAGGGTCCGAAATACAACGTGGGGGGCGGGAGCATCCTTGACTTGGTCTTGACCAACAGGGAGGAGATGATAGATGAGGTTCAAATTAGGGGAGCTCTGGATGCAAATGATCATTTCATCCTTGTTTTGGGATCAGGGGACTGGGTATGTGCAGCAGGTCGAGCACTAGAAGCTGGGACTTCAAGCTTTGGCCAACTGAAGGCCAGAATTGGGAAAGTCACTCATTAAGAACAACAATTTAATGACTGGGAACAGAAAGTGCTCTACATGCTCAGACATCTTTATAGAGATATGAAACCGCTCACAGAAACACAACTGAAAAAGAAACTGGGAAATGTTGAAGTTTACTGCCTGACTATATGTCAAATGATCTATTTTATATGCAATTCCAGTTTTGTCTCATTTCAACAGATTCCAAAATCTAACAGAACAGCTAATTTTAACAAAACCTCTATGAAACAGCTGTTAAACCTTTAGAAGATTTTATGTGCCTCAGTGACCTGAACTCTTTAAGTCAGACCTGAAGTCTAATAGAAATGTCAGATGGAGAAAACTATGGGGAAAACAGTAATTCAAATTGGTGACAGCAAAAATACAGGAAAGCACCATAAAAACAGTACTTACATGGCACTATACAAGTATAAAAAATCACAGAATATGGAGAGGATGACAGCAAATGACATATTTTCATATGTGGTGAAACCATGATAAGGTTCCATCCTTCATCCAATTATGAATGAAATTTTGAGAGAATTGGCTCAGGTTAATGGGTAGTATAGAAATCAAATAAATAAATAAACAAATTACTGATGACATATTGATGAGGTTTATGTCAAATATGTAGACATTGAATAACTGTGATTTGAGGGGAGAGCTTGGAACTTACATTTCACTTTTATATACTTGTAATTATTTCTGTAATGTTTTCAAATCTGTTAAATAAAGATCTTTTAAAAAGCAAGCTCTGGGTTGTCAGGGTGACTTGCCACCTTCAGACTATCAACCATGCAAGAGATGGTCCAGGGACACCTAAGACTACTGTCCATCAGGGCTTGTCACCCATGCTGGCTTCTCATGTCATGTAAGCTTCGGCTTTCCTCAGTCAGCAATGGCCACTTTCCTATCTGTTTCCTGGGTATCCTGCTATGTCAAACACTTTAAGTTCTACTTGGTTTGGCACGCAGCAGCAGAAAACAGGTCTGTGGGCAGAACCCATTGAAGAAGCTAGAGTTTCCTCAAGTTCTGATTCAGATGTGAATGCTAAGCTCTGGGAGAAACTCCTCATTGCCACTTGCCAACACTATTTGGGAAAGCATTACAGGTTGAAGATGAATGAATGGTCTTTTATTCTGGAATGTTGAAGGTGGAGGGAGTGCTATTCCTGGCACATACAAGTGCATTGTTGACTCTGTTCTTGAACAAGTTTTGCAAGGGATCTGTGTGGTTTCAGAATCCAACTGACCAGATATGACACTGGCACAAATAAAACTGGTGTATATAGTATGGTAAGCAAAGACTTTGTTAACCCATCCTCAATTCTAGGTTAAAATCTATTATCTGAATCTATCCAAAGCATTAAAAAGTGTTCACAGGAATTGCCTAGAACCACACTAAAATGTTTTAAATGACTTAGAACTAACCTTTGAGAAACTACAAGAGGTAAGATGCCACTAGGTTGGCAGCCGCTATCCACGTGAATGGTCAATGGCTACATGGTTTCTAAATCTTGTAAATACAAGACAAGAGAACATGTAGAATTCATTTCTCATGGCATGAATGCCCTGGCTGGAGATTGCCTTTTTTAATATACATAACTATGCATGAATGAAGCTATTTTAATATTATAAATTGAAATACAGTGAAAATTACAATAATTGACATATTAAAAAAGAGTCGTCTCTCCCCTCTCTGTGGGCACCCCATAAGACTTTTGTGATTGCACAGACCTTATATGTACTTTCTGATGAAATGCTGCAGGTGTGGCTTGGTGGGGATGCTCTCTGGCATCTCCGCTCTTCACTGCTCATGGACCAGGAATTAGCAAAACTGTAGCTGTTTGCTTCCAGGGTCCCTGAAATGAAAGGAAGAACAGTAAGACTGTGTGTGAATCCAATGTGTTTATTTAGAGCTCTTGATTAAGAGAAATGAAGGAACCTCCTTCCTAAACAATAGAAAATTTTATGTGGGGAAGTGTTCCCATAAGTGTTCCAACACCCCTAAGTTGTTAGTTGGTAGGCTGGCAGGAACATTTTGCCAACCCTGATAAGAAAGAAATACTTTAAATTTGCTTAAATCATAGCATTTTCATGAGTACAGGAATAAAATGAAGTTAACTTCTGTTGCCCTGAGGATAGACATACAGTGGTACCTTGGCTCATGAACTTAATCCATTCCATGACTCTGGTTGCAACCCAAATTGGTCGTGAGCCAAGTCAAATTTCCCCATAAGGTTCAATGTAAATAAGGTTAATCTGTTCTGTAACCATATTTTTAAATCACAAAAATTTGAAACAAAGCGACAAAGAACAACACAGTAACAAAGAACAAAGATCGCAGCCATCTACCCCCTCTCCTGAGCACGACCACGATCGTGCTTATGCAGGGAAGATGGGCACAATTGTGATCGCTATCTGATGTGGAGTTTGTGACCTGAGGCAAAATTTTTCTGAAATTTCTGTTTGCGACCCAATCTGATTGTGAACTGAGGCATTCATGAGCCAAGGTACCACTGTATTTCTATGGGATAAGCACTATTTGGTGCTTTAAATAAGATATATTTAAAGTAGAAATAATAAAATAAGTATCTGGTTGGTCACCCTTCCCATAAAATGTATTTTAAAAAATGAAAACAGCATTACAGCGAGCAGTTCCTGTGGGCTTCAGCATGCCCAACTGCTGGCCCAGGCACTGCTGTAAGCTGCTTTGCCAAAGTCCCCATCACCTGCTACTCTCTGGGTGGACATTCAGTGGGCTGTAAGGCCCTAATCATTGGTTCCAAGGTCTCACCTTAGTGCAGCTACTGGCAAAGAGACTAACAAAGGGAGACATCTGATCACATGAAAAGGCAGAACTCATGAAATTGGCCCTACCCATGTAATTGTGGAACTCATCTACTCCTTCACATTCCACCCACAACTCTCCATCTTCAGACCACATACTGACTGTGTAAGGGAGGCAGATTATGTAGTCCTTTCCCACTAAATACTTACTTGCCTTACTCTCTGCAGGACAGTGATCCAGTGGGAAAAATCCACGTAATCAGTGACTATGGATTTCACAAATATGTTGCAATAAATCCAGACAAAAATGGATCCTGGCAACTGTGTGTGTGTGTGTGTGTGTGTGTGTGTAGGAGGGGAAAGAGTGCCTTACTATCATGCTATAAGAGGATTCTATTTTGAAGCTTCATCCAACCTGGCAGAGAGTTAGAAGGAGCCCTTGCAGATCATCTAGTAGCCCAAAAAACAAATAGCAGATTAACAGCTATTTAGCAAAACCTAAACAATCCAGTGGTTCAAGTTCATACATCACGTGCACAATAGGTTGTGCTATAAAGGAAAGGATAAGCAGTAAGCACAGTAAACAGGACACCAAGGCATACCCCAAAACCCAATAGGTTCTGCAGAAGGAAAATCTTTTCCTCCTACAATTCTGGTGGCAAAAAATTATTATGACCAAACTAGTTCACTAATTAGTACCTGCTTAGTGCAGTCACTCAAACAGCTATGGATTCAGTTAATTGTTTTATTGTCCAATCATATGATACCATCTTATCAGCAAGGTTATCATGGAAAACCTTGTCAAATGCTTTGCTGAAATAATAAAATACTAAATCCACATTATCCCCATGATCTACCAAGCTAGTAACACTGTCAAAAAAGGGAAATAATGTTAGTCTGACATGACTTATTCCTGACAAACTCACATTCTTTTAATTGGTACAGGATTTTCTAGATGCTCATAGACTGAATGCTTAACTGTCTAAGCATTTTGCCCATTACTGTTATTGAGGTGAATGGTATGTAATATCCCAGATCTCACTTTTCCCCTTCTTGAGGATAGCTATTATGTTTGCCTGTCTCCAATCTCCAATTTCACCTGTTCTCCAGATGTTCTCAAAACTTACAGAAAACATCTCTAAAATAACTCCCATAAGCATTTTTCCTGCATTACATCTATTGCACAATGACATACATCTGACAATAGATATTAGATATCTATTGGTTAAATGGAGACTCATGTTCAGAGGCAGTATACTTTTTGATAAAAGTTCCTGATGGACAAACAGTGGGGAAAGCATATTTACCACATCCCTTAATTGTGGGCTTCTCGGGTTCATCTGGATGGTCCCTTCTGGAAAGGAGATGCTGGACCAGATGATGCTTGATTTGATTCAGCAGGGCTTTTATGCTCTTATGATAATGCTACTGCCCTTCCACCCTTCCTTCTTTCCAGTAGACAGCATTGCATTGGCTGTCAATTTCTAGATTCCTAATCTGGAACAGGCAAGAGGCTACTAGGCCTTAATCCAAAAGCTTCCATTCCCTCCTTTGAGGGCTTTTATTGATAATGCATCAATTATCTTGATGTTTCTTGCTTCAGATTTCTACATGTAAGAGTCAACCCTAAGAATCCAAATACAAGAACATGGAGCTTAACCCATAAAAATACTTGTGTTGCTGATGGTTCCCCCCCCCCAAGTTTTTTTTAAAGTTACTTGTGTTATATAAGATGATAATTGCTGTATAATAACATAATATAATATAATATAATATAATATAATATAATATAATATAAATGATTGATCCATTCAGGAGGAGCCTACAATTTTTGTATTGGAAAACTTCCTGTCCCATGTACCTGCACAGATATAGGTAGTTTGACTATAAAATTTTCTGGTATTTGCAGAAAGTGCATCATCTCCTTTGGTTAGGGATTCAAATACTTGAGAAGAGGGAGAGAGGGCAAGAAATACATGTGCAGAGACAAGTATGGCAGCTCTGTCATCTGGCTCACCTGCTGCATACAGTCCTCGCCATTATGCACACTGGACTTTTTGGAAGACTGTGGAAGGAGTGCTGGGAGAAGGGCAGAGGCAGCTGCAGGGAGCAGAGTAGGCAAAGGGCTCTGCAGACCCTGGGACACAATCCAATTTCATGCAGGCTGTCAGCAGCAGCCAGGCTTAGGGCAGCCACAAAAAGGCTATATGTTCTTCTCATGCAGCATTGAAGCCTTAAAGTGTGCACAAAGGTTTCGTGACCCTGCATCCATTTTACTCTGAGCTGCCTCTAACCTTGTCATCTGTCTACAAAGGGTGGAATGTAAATGGAGAGGTGCAGGTAGGTAGGGCTGACTCACCACCTCCAGCTATTCTTAACTAGCAAAGCCAGAACTAAGGATGCACAGCAGCTGAAAAAGCAGAAATCTCCTGGGAAAATAAGGTAATTGCTGGAGATTTATGGGTGGGAATTTTTAAAAAAAGGTATTTCTGAAGGCACAATTACAAACAATTCCAACAAGGAAAAATGGTGCAGAAGAACAGAAGTCTATGTGGCTTCACCAAAAGTTTAGAGATGATCAGAAGTCAAAAAAGAAAATGTTTAGGAAGTGGGAGGAAGGTCAGGCTACAAAGGAAGAATACAAGCAGATAGCACAGAATTGCCGGGATGGTGTCTGGAAGGCTATAGCTGGAAAAAAACAGGCTAGAGAGGGATACTAAAAGCAACCAAAATGCCTTCTTCAGATACAACCATAGTAAAAGACGGAGGAAAGAAAGGGTTATTCAGATATGCAGTATGGATGACAAAATGGTAACAGGTGACAAAGAAAAGACAGAAGTGCTCAATTCCTCCTTTAGCTCAGTCTTCTCCCAGAAGATCTGTGACCTTCCTGGTACAAGCTGAAGGATGGCCATTCAAGATAGATAGGGAAATGGTCCAGGATTATCTAATTAGGTTGAATGAGTTCAAATCTCCAGGGCCCAATGACCTCTATATTACAGTATTAAAGGAGCTGGCAGAAGAATTCTCAGAACCACCAATAATTTGAGAAATCATGAGGACAGGAGAAGGGCTAATATTGCCCCATGTCCAAGAAAGGAAAAAGAAGAACCTGGGAACTATAGACCAGCCAGTCTGATATCGATCCCTGGAAATCTTCTGGAGTAGATTATAAAGAAGTCAGTCTGCAAACTTCCTCGAAAGCAATGCAGTGATTTCTAGAAGCCAACATGGATTCATCAAGAGCAAATCCTGCCAGATGAATCCATTTTTTGATTGGGCAATTTCCCTGGTGGAATGCTGTGGACATAATATATCTTAATTTCAGCAAAGTTTTTGACAAAGTGCTCCATGATAACCTCATTAGCAAATTAGCAAAAAGTGGGCTAGAGGGAACAATAATCAGGTGGATCCACACTTGGCTATAGAATTGGGACTCCAAGAGTGCTCACCAATGACACCTTCTCAAACTGAGGAAAGCTAACAAGTGGGGTAATGCAGGGTTCCGTCCTGGACCCAGTGCTCTTTAACATTTTTATTAATGACTTGAATGAGGAAGTGCAGAAAATGTTTATCAGATCTGCAGATAACAAAAGATTGGGTGGGATAACTAACACTCTGGAAGACAGAAACAAAATTCAGGATGATCCTCCTAGATTGGGATATTGGGCTGAAAAAAACAAAATGAAATTTAATTGAGACAAATGTCAAATTGTTCACCTAGAAAAAGGGATGGTGTAAGTTGGGTTGGATTGTGTGACTTGCTGTCCTGCAATAGCAGGGGGTTAGATCCGATGGCCTTCATGGCCCCTTCCAACTCTACTATTTTATGAAATACAATTTTACAAGATGAGGGATTCCTGGCTGAACAATACTGAAAATGAGAATGATCTGTTAGGAGTAAGAAGTATGGGAGTCTTGGGCAATTGTTCCCGTGGACTGCTTGGTACATTGCAAATTATTCAAAATCGGAAAGTGAAACATATTTTAGTGAGATTGGGGAGGATGCGTTAGGTCAAGATTCTGTGATGCAGAAGGGGAAAGTGATTACCTCAAGGCCAGTTGCTTCACT